CGAAGAAGATGGGCACCGCAGATGCGAGCGACAACACGAAACCGGCTCCTAATAGCCCCAGCATCACATCGAAGCAGGCGGCATCTGAGAGGTGCAGCTGCTCGCAAAGCAGCCCCGCAACCTGGTTGAGAACCAGATTGATGAGCAGCGGCGATAGGAGACCCAGCACGGAAGGGCATATGATGCAGAACCACAAGGGCGGCGGCGCGGTGACGAAGACGGACGGCACGGCGACGGCTGCTGCGGCGGCGACGATCCGCGCCGCCCAGGCGGCGGCGCCGCCGGCGGCACCGCCTTCCTCGCCGCCGCCGCTGGCAACATTGACGTCTTCGCCGCCTCCACCTTCACCGCCGCTTGGGTCGGCAGCGGCAGCGATGGCGGCGGCGGCGGCGGCGGAGGAGGAGGAGGAGGAAAGGCGCGGCAGCGCTTGTTGCAGCGTCTCTGCCATTTGTGTAAAGACACGGCTCGCCAGCTGTACGGCGATGTACGGCACCTGAGGGCTGCTGTCGCCCTGTCCTCCCCATGTGTGCAACACTATCTGGCGGTCCAGGAGCAGCTCACCGGCGGAGGCGTCGAAGATGGCATAGGGCCCTGCTGTCGGTATTGGGGGGGAGGTGGGCAGTGCGAGGGGGGGAGGTGGGCAGTGCGGGCGGGGAAGGTGGGCAGTACGAGGGGGGGAGGTGGGCAGTGCGAGGGGGGGAGGTGGGCAGTGCGGGCGGGGAAAGGGGGCACGGGACGTTGCATGTCGTCGCATGACGAATTTCCCACAATGCTTCACGTGAAGGGGGTGTTTTGTTCGATACATGGGCCGTGTTGGCATGTGAGGAGAAATGAAGCCCAAATGCGATACTGTTCGTTGAGGGAGCCAACTAAAAATCGTCGTCACCGACGTCACCTCTTGACGAGGGAATTGACACTTCATCACCATGCAACCTGTCGTACACTACCTGTCGTACGGTCAAAGAGCGCGATGGTGATTGGAAACAGGCGACGTCCCAGCACGCGCTCCAAGCTGCCGGCGGCCAGGTTCATAACGCCTACGGCGCCCGCAAGCGCCGCCAAGCCGCCGCTGTCGTACTCGGGCGACGTCCTGGCAGTTTCGCGCCGTACACCCCCAGCACCGGCGACCTTCAGACTCTCCCTTAGACCGCGGCCTGGTTGCGGATCTTGCTCTTGCTGTTCTTGTTGATGGCGCCGGTCCTGGTCTTGCTGTTGCCCCCACTCCTGCTGCTGCTCCTGCTGCTGCTCCGTGCTATCCGGATCTCTATCGGGTAGGTGCACTGCCAGGGAGATGAAGGGCTGATTTTCAGCGCGCCTGTAGCGTGCATTGCAAGGCTCGGGTAAAGGCAGGTGCGAACTAGGTTCGGCGGCGATTGGTTGCCGGCCGGTCCTTTCTGTAAGACATCAGTCTACCGTAAAATAGCAAAGCGGTAACCATCCGCATTTTAATCTATGTTTTAGGAGCATGAAGCTTTTAACGCTGGGCTGTCGAGGGTATGCATTAGGGTTGTTGGTTATTAACTGACCTGGTGAGTTTGCTCCGTCCCGCTGTAACCACAACCAAAGATTTGAACCGGTCCAGATTGGTAAGAATTTCCGAAGCCGTTTCTCCGCCATCTGCGGTAAAGCGTACCATAGGCATGAACGCCAGACAGGGCGCGCTGCAGGTTATGCAATGCACTCTGGTGCATTTCTTGAACGTAGTTGACCAACAATGTCAAATCGTTTGCAGAATCTTGTACCTGTCAAATGCAACCACTCCCGTCCAGTGCCCAGCCGGGAAAGAAAGCGCAAATCCGACTGGTAAGCGGAGTCCATGGAGCCTTTCGAGAAACAACCCATTCTGGATATACCCATTAGAGCCCCATGGAGTCCAGGATGAAGGAGGGCAACTGACGCTGCCACGGCCAGAATAACCAGCACGAGACCATACGTTAATTTGCCCCTGAACATGGTATACATACACTTGAGCCTAGATAGATGAACGAACACGTCCAAGACGAAATCGTCTTTCCTCAACACTTCACTCTTTCTGTCCAAACCATTCCGTTGGACTTACGACATCGTGTTAGTTGCAGAAATACTCAAAGCAACCGTTACTCATCTTAACTCAATGACGATCATCCGATGATAATTATGCCTTTGGCGTTTTTTGCGTCGTTTCTGTTAACTTTTGCAGCGACTGCAAATCGTATCGCAGCAGGCTACGAAGAGTGCCCCAGTAGAATGAAGTTTTCGCAACACGAAATCAGGATGCCTGCAATGCGGAGAGGATGTCACCTCGTGACCGACAAGGTGCGTTGGATGCATAATGCGGAGTAATATCGTCCCAAGCAGGTACTAGCATGACAACACACGAAAACATAATTAAAAAAATATATATTGCCATTGTGCTTCACCTTATTAGCAAAGCGTTCTGAGCCCATTTCTATCCCTGTCGATCTAACGCCGCATGGTTCACCCTACGACGCAGTCCGCCAGCAACACGCACTTCTGGTCCAGACCGCATATGTATAAAACAAGCGCATAAATCCGAAAGCTTTTTTTGTCACCCACGTTACGTACCTCCACCCCAAATTGGGCAGTGGACATCCTCTACCTGCCGACCTGCTCTGTTTGGCACCAATGTCATTCCATGTGCCTTCCGTGGCAAAGTCCGAAGCTGCCTCTTATCACTCACCTCCCGTCCATTGCATCCCCCTGTTTTTCCCGGCAGCGCGCTAGCTACGGTACCCATATTCTCCTCCTTGCCACGCCTCTCCCCCCTTTCCACTTCTGCCAACCCAGTGCCGCTCCCTAATATCCCTTTGGGGCCGCGGCGCCCCGTTTCTCAACCCCTCTTGCCCTGACCCCGCCTTCCCCCAAACCCTTTCCACTGCCGTCCTGCATTACGTGTACTTTCCCCACGGGCATGCGTGCCGTCCTGCATTACGTGTACTTTCCCCACGGGCGCCTGGATCCGAAACCCCCCCCCTTCGGCGGGTCGGTGGGTCGGTTGCAAAACAGATTCTGAAGGAGATCGGGAGCTCTCTCGCCGGCTACAAAGTGGGCCTGGCAAACATCTTTAGTAGGTCTTCCTCCCGATGGTAGGGATAGCAAGAAGTAAGATTTTGCCGTAGTACCTGCATGCAATAGAAAGTGTACGGTCGCGGACGTGCTTGTGACGAGGGGGTGCACCGGGGACCAAGCCCCAGCACCCAAGAAGCGTTCGGGGGCCTTGGAAAGTGCCTGCGCACTCCCGTGAAGTAGTTTTAGTGATCCGATGTTCGTGCAACGCCGCCAAAGAACGGGCTGTGCAACCAAATGCAAGGAATAGAAGCTCCAGCATGTAACACGTCAGCTCCGCTGGTGACATGACATCATTTTGCCCCCTGTCCCAACCGTACACAAACAAAAAACCAACTATTAACTGCCCCAACAAAAAACTGCTCCGCCGACTAATCGAGAAGTGTGTGTCAAACCAATTTGTAGTCCAGCACACGAGTGCCTCCCTAACAATCAACGAGAATGCTGACCCCGATGTACGGAAGGATATGGAGACCTACCTAAACCTTTCCGTACCCGAGGTACGGCACCCCACGGCATGGATGGGGTGTTGGGAAAACACCTGTTTACAAAAGGAGGTAACAACGTGTCATACTGTCGTACTTGCATGCTTGGGGGTCTCGGGAACGGCTGCATGTGCATGTGCATGTGTGGGCGGTGCATATGGATCCGCATGCGCTTGCTCTCCTGTCTTGGCTATGGCCCATCCAACCAACCAGGTAGCCAGCAATAAGTTGCTCCCCATCAGCCGCACATGCGTGTGTGTGGGGGGGGTGGCAGTGGGGGGGGGTGTACGTGGGGGTGGGGGTGGGGGTGGGTTGGGTGGTGGGGTGGTGGTTGGGGGGATGGGGGGATGGGGTTTGTGTGTTACACCTTTTGGAGTTGCGCTTTACTCTCCAAAGGTGTATCCTGGGGGGCCATGCACACGAGCCGTGGGGGGACCCACGGGCCTGCCGCCTAGGGCTGTTCAAAAAGGGATGCGTGTAGGCGCTCCCTTTACGGTTCGACACCTTAAATTGAAACACAGCTCCCGTTTTCCCTGCATTCCCCTTCCCTCCCCCTTCCTCTATCCTTTTTGTTCTCTGTACCTGGGGCCCTCCCGGCCCCGCGCCCTGACCCCGTGCTCGGATGAGTGAGTGGATGTATGAATGTATGTATGTACGTAGGGTGCCAAGGCCCCTTGGATTCATACCGATGAAGGGCCTGACGACATGCCTGCCCATGTCAAGAGCTCCCTGCTCGGGGCCTCCCTCACCGTCCCCATCAGCCAGGGCCGTCTGGCGCTGGGAACATGGCAGGTGTGAGGAGGCGGGAGGAAGGGCGGGCGAGCGGGAGGGCGAGAGGAGGGCGGGAGGAGGGGCGGGAGGAGGGCGGGGGGACGGGCGGGAGGAGGGCGGGGGGACGGGCGGGAGGAGGGGCGGGAGGAGGGGCGGGAGGAGGGGCGGGAGGAGGGGCGGGAGGAGGGGCGGGAGGAGGGGCGGGAGGAGGGGCGGGAGGAGGGGCGGGAGGAGGGGCGGGAGGGCGAGAGGGAGGAGGGCGGGAGGGGCGGGAGGGCGTGCACACAAACACATTATTCACGCATGCGTATGCCACGTATAGCATATACACATACATACGCATGTAGACACACATACATACACACGCGTTTTCTCATCGTGCTGAGTTTTGGTGACGTGATATGGCTTCCCTGTGTACAACGCTTCCAGCACTGCCATTACTTCCACTGCCACTGCTGTCACTGCTACTGCCATTGCTGCCACTGCTGACATTTTTTCTGACATCGTGGTCGCTTTCCCCTTCCACCTCGGATGATACACAACGAACTTAACTAACTAAACCAACCGAAGGGCATCTGGCTGTGTGAGCACCGAGACCATGCGTCTGGCCGCAACATCATCGTAACGCTCCAGGGAGAGTAGGCATGTGGCTGCGGCGAACTCAGCTCGTTATGCGCGGATGTATAGCCAGACAGTCGCGAGTGACTGTAGGACAGACAGCAGACAGACAAACAGAAACCGTTTCACGCAGTGCGTGAGGTGCATGGAGCCAAGTACGTAGCTAAGCATGCCTGATGATGATGGCTGATGTATGTATGATGCAGACTCGATGGTGGTGCGCTTGGTGGACCTTGATAGCAGAAAAAGAACGGAAAGACTACACCCCGGGACACCGAACCCCCGGTGGCATGACTGTCATTTGTTTTTCAGTGTACAACAGTTTTTCACGGTCTTGATTACAGTTAATGGGCGGGCAGCGGTACGTGTCACGGAGGTTATGACATATGAATATCTGTATACAGAGGGGGCGGGCGCAGCAGCTTTTTAACCGACTTGGTTGACGTGCCCGTCATCGGGCACCTAAGTATTTAGGAATCACTCTAAAAGCACTATCGCCGTCAGGCTATGAAACGGACATGACGCAAGAGCAGGACACAGTATAGAGTAAGCTTTAAAGAAGCTATCTTATCGGAGTGAGAACGCATGCTGGAGTCACTGGGCACTTAAAGTCATGAGGGCACGACAGGCAAAGAAACACACACACGGCACAGGGGCAGGACATTGTATAAATTAATTGAGCTGTAAATAAAGCTCCTTTATTGACCAAGATGGGCATTCTGGAGACGAAATCGACCCGCACATGTCCTGTATGTCAGACAAATGCGTTACCTTTTACTATTACAGGGAAATCGACATCCCCGAGGAAGGGCTGCTCGTTAATGCTATTAAAGGAAGGGCTGACTGTTGGAAAGTGCAATGAAACGACCTGAAGAAGGAACACAATCAAAGCGAGCCTGCAGTAGGCAAAAGGTTACGGACGGTACGGGCAAGAGGTTGCCTCCCGTGCAGATGAAGTGCGAGGACCTGCGATACAGTAAGATGGTATTTGTATTGGTAACTGGCAGGCCGTGGATTGACGGCGCAACTCGTGGAGGGGCATTTTGCAATCGCCAGAACAGTGACAAGTTGTACGTGTAGAAATCGCAGGCATAAAAACGAGTTAACAGAGTCGGATGAGTCCAATGCAGTCATGATTGGCAAGTTTTGTCGAAGTTTGTGCCGAGCAATGACGCAAAGAGTTAAGCGGTTCTGAAACACGCGGCCCCTGCTTAGGCAAAACTCGGCAACTGAGTCGCTTGAGCTAAAATGAAGTGTCCTTGCTGAATCGCAATAAATAATGTTATTGCCGTTTGAAGGGATCTCCGTTCCGAGTCGATTCGAGTTGCCTAATTCATGAAAAGCTTGATCAAGCTAATCAAGCTCATTGTCTGTTTTACGGAATAAGACGCAGGTGCGATGCAGAATAACATATTCAATTAACATTAAACACGCTGTTTTTGTCGTCAATTGCCTACAATCCTGGCAACCCCCTTGACAACGAAACCAGGCGTGCGGCAAAGGTTGCCAATGGCAGCATAAGCTGTGTCTTCATCCTAGCAACAGTGCGAACAGTGTTATATTCTATGCCGGGGGACAGTGAAGTGCCTTGTGCTGGGCCGTTCTCCTGTGCCGGCGTCTCTCGTCGTCGCTGGTGTACACGTCTGTAGCAGCTGACCGCTGAAAAGGTCTCTCGAGTTGCTGGTGGTCGCGCTCTGCGCGTATTTATAGCGCCGTACTGTGTACCGGCTGCTACAACGTCCTGTCAGGGGTAGGCTCTGCGCTCTGCAGCAGTCCAATACCTTCCAAGTGGCGCGAAATGCTGTGAGTTGGACGCTGTGCTGACAGCTGCAGACCTCCGGCGATGTTGTAGAGTAACCGTATACGGCAGGCGACGGTATGTTCGACGCCCTTCGTGCCTTTTTGCTGACACAGGTGTAAGGTGTCCAAGTGACGTCAACTCTTCTGACTCTTCTGACTTTAAGAAGGGCACGCCGTTCTCAACGACGTGTCGTTGATTTGTTTTGGTTAGCGGACTAACGAACAACCACTCAGTGGTGAACTGCTGATGCCTGGGAAGCAATCAATATGTGCTCAATGCGTGCTGTGCATGCCCATATGGGTGCGTGTGCAACACATACGCGCACCCGTCCATCCAGCAGGCTGCCAACCATGTATCGATTGTGGTCTAGCTGGTCTAACAACTGGTCTGGGCTTCCAATTAAAGGTCATATGCCGCTAGCCGCATCAGAATCGATGCTAAATTAAATCGATCGGCGGGCAGTCAATAATTTTTTTGACAGCAATTTTCATAGGAGGTTTTCGTGAGTAGTTGCCTTACCACTTAGACGTCATCCAGACGAAGAGGAACTTGCAGACAGGAAAGTTGCTCTTGCTTCCGTGTGGGTTGCGTGGTGGCGACTCGCCATCGACTCGCCATCGACGCCGCCACCCGCTTCCTCGGAGGAAGCGGCGCTGCTTCTGGACGCTGTAGATTAGACAGAAGCCGCAACGGAAAACTGTCAGTAGTGACAATCTACACTCGCGAAAAATTCGATACTCTTTACGTCGCACTACTAATGTGACTTACTGTAGGCCTGTACGGTCCAGTCGTACACGCCAACGACATTCAATCGAGTTCGCTCAGGATAAATACACAGAAGAACTTGGTTGTATTTCATTTCACTAGAAAACCTACAGACTATTTCTTGTGACCGGCCTGCGATTATGGTGCATGTCATGTATATGAAACGTCTAACCAGAACAAGCTACAAGCAGCAGCATACAATTTAGGCAGCGATCACGGGCCGACGATGATCTCCTGGACATAGTTGTATGTAGTTGCGATTATCCAGCGCTCGACATCTTCATCCATCTAGTCGGTGAAGGGCAAATGGCAGTCGACGGAGTGCTTTGCAACGCCCTGGTTGTACTCCTTTGTCTGCTGGCGCTTGTCAACGCAGCGATGCCTGAAGTAAATAAAGGCTTAGTTCAACTTCGAAGCGGACAAGTAGAGCTGAATAGGTAGGTGGGTGCACCGCGTACACAGGTCTCCATGACGTACGAAGGCCTATGGAAGCAAGCGAGTAAGGGCAAACATAGAACATCATAGTCGGCTTTGGTAACCTAGTACCCTAGCTTTTACTTAGCGTTAAATTGAGCCTGTTTCTGATTTCTTTTATGCTTTCTTATGACATACAACGCTTGTTTGCATGGTGCTGGTTCTGCAGCTCAAAAGATATAGATACAGTAGTTTAGCTTATATTATTAGGCGCTATAGCTTCTGGAGAAACTGCCGTCGTTTGCGCACCGATGTGTGTGCACCGCCGAGCTAGCTCGGCCTAAGATTGGGCAGATTGAAGATATTTGAAGGTCCAATAATAATTCGGAAGTCAGAACCACTGCATACAGAATGTTAGCTACCTGTTGCCCATGCAACAAGGCCGGGAACTGTGCGTTTCTCGCTTCAAGTAACGCATCAGTAATCGATCGGTGTCCTACCCCCCCACACACACAAAAAACACGCGCAACCAAAGTCAAATTTGAAAATTTCATGAAGTATATCAACCCATGATAATTTGGCTACCTCGTATAAATTACCTTGTATATTTATTCCGGATCACGTGTTTGCGGGCGGGGTCGAATTACAGAACAGGAACAATTACGCTGTAGCTAATGGGGCGGCCAAACCTACGGGTGAGGCCTGGTCGCGTACATCATCTGGCCCCTTTGGTTATCTTTTGATTATTATTGCTGGGAAGCGTCACCTGATGACTTACACATGCGCCGGCGCCGTGCACCCGCCGGGCGGACATATATGCATTGAATATGCATTGAATAGCGACTATTGAATAGTAATACATAGCTAACTGGCGAAATGGAGCGAACGACGCCGTCATGCTACTCTAGCTAGCTTATTTCGTACACTGGGCAAGCAAGCAGTACACATGAAAGATGCCAATCAAGCCAATCAAGGGGATCGGATCCCTATCTACTCTTATCAAGCTCGCTCTTATCAAACCCCTTGAGCGAATGGTCATCCGGGAGGAACTCGTGCATATGCCGTACTACTACGTAGCGCCACCCGAAATATGCTTTAGCTTTCAGTCAGTTACCTGCTTCCTTGGACGACATCAGTACAGCTTGTTTGATTACATCAGCTATAAGTGTGACAACTTTCTCGCTGCGGATATACTGAAGTCTTTCTTCCGAATCTTCCCCTACAGGAGGAGGGCAATATGGCAATAGGGGAGCGAGCGTATATGCATGTGGCCCTGTTCGCCATCCACTTTTTGAGGGATGCGCGTGATGGCCGACGTGTTGAAATAAACCATGTCGTGCGTACCAACATGTTGCATCGTTTACCTACTTAATTAATGGTTCGGCTGCAATAAACAAACCTATATGTTTTGCGGCTCCAAAAACACTTTACTTTACATATATCCCAGTCGCTCCCTTTTCGAGTCCAATCAACCCGGTGGCATATTCGTTGTAAATGCAGATGAATGTCTTGCTGCTTGTGCATATTGCTGCATATTGCTGCATATTGTTGCATATACATATTATTGTTGCAGGCCCGTCTACAAAACACCCCAACCAACTGCACGAGCGCCAGCAGCTGGGCAACAGTCTACAAATGGTGGAGATGTCGCCCCTGGCACGATGGGGGCCATCACAAATGGTGGCGGGGTGGCGGGGGATGATGGTGCCAGTGATGACGGGCAGAACCTGTACCTGGTCCAGTACGGCTCAGCAGGTATGCATGAACATTAACAGCGGTGAGATGGTAATAAAGAATCGCACAGGCGGCCGGGTTTCTGGGTCTAGATCTGGGTCTGGGTCTGGGTCTGGGTCTGGGTCTGGGTCTGGGTCTGGGTCTGGGTCTGGGTCTGGGTCTGGGTCTGGGTCTGGGTCTGGGTCTGGGTCTGGGTCTGGGTCTGGGTCTGGGTCTGGGTCTGGGTCTGGGTCTGGGTCTGGGTCTGCGTCTGGGATCAATAGGTGGATAGGTCGATAAGTGGATAGATAGATAGATGGGTAGATAACGTGTTTTTCATCCTCGATTCGGCTATTTAGTACCACAACAGCGGCAAAACCGCTGCCCTCTGGGGACATGGTACTTGCCTCTTCGTGCTCTGTTTGCCTCCCGAGCCCAGCAACATAAACGAAACTGCATTAGCTTACGATGTGCTAAACGAGGAATGAAAACCTTAGCATGTGTTGGCCAAATGACGGCTGCGGCTCCCGAAAAGGGCAGCCCCATCCAGTGCTTATACTTCGCCATTTGCACTCCCGGTTGCCTCCCATCTGAGGGGTACTCCTCTGGCAAGACAGTCAGACGCGTATGAAAAACACGTGTTATTGGAATGCCCAGCCTATAATGATATTCGTGCTGAAGAGGGATTCGATTATCAACAGAGCATGTTGGAGGCCATGAAATGGGAACCAGCACGTCTGGCGAGGATGTTGGAACGTATGTGGGCTCACCGAAACTCAGTTATCCCCGTTGGACGCTAGTCTGGGCTGATGTGCGGTGTTTCCTTTTCTCCGTGGCTTTTAGGCGTTGTAGTATTGCCCTTGGGCCTTCGGCCCGTATGGGTAGTTTTTCAGGTATGGGGTCACGCACCCCCCAGCCATGTAACACACACACAGATGGATAGATGGATAGATGGATAGATGGATAGATGGATAGAGATGGATAGAGATGGATAGAGATGGATAGAGATGGATAGAGATGGATAGAGATGGATAGAGATGGATAGAGATGGATAGAGATGGATAGAGATGGATAGAGATGGATAGAGATGGATAGAGATGGATGTAAACGTGCGCTGACGGGACATACATACAGCTCATAGCGTTGCACATACATACATATATACATAGGGTTTGGCACTACTGGTAAGGCGCGACCATTGCCCCCGGGAGATCCCGGGATCGATACCCATTAGGGTCAAAAGTCCTTCCGATGATGGAAGGCATTGCGCCCCTAGATGATGGACGGTGGTAACCTGGGATAAAGTAAACCTGCGAGTCGATCAGTAACGGAGTTGGGCCGCTGTCGACCCGGCAGATTCCGTTGAATGCTGGTGGTGGGTGCGGAACCTGAGCGATCCACTGAGAAGTTGACTAGGGTGACTGGATGAGGGTGCCCCGAAATACCGGGGAAGGCAGGGTTTCGCAGGGTAGCTGCCACGGGCGAAGATACACCCCCCTGTTTCACACATCATACAGCTCGCGCGCGGCGCTCGTCAAAGAGTATATGTGCGTCGCTTGGTGCTACCTAGGACTCGTGTATCGCCATACCCTGATTGTCCCCGCGGGGTTCTTGGCACCAGCAGCGGTGCGAATTGGCTAGCTAATTAATGCAACCAGCCGGCAAGCAGCAACTAGAACTTTGATGGATCCATGGAAGGGCACGTAGACAGAAATAATATATGTAGCCACCCAAGTAACCCCTTATCCGCCGTACTATTACAGCATCACAGCGCGGAGCCATTAGCGTGTTTCGATTTGACAGCAGCAGGTCCCTATCCATGGGAAACAAGCGGAGGCGAGAGTTTTGGGAAAAGGCGTCATAGGAGCATGCCTAATAAAGGTCGGGGAAGTAGTTCGCTCCGCTGTTGGCTGCATGTTATTTGTGGCAGGCAGCAGTAATTTGGGCGCCAACCCGCCGCCGCCTGAACTCGCCATGACGCCATTGGCTTATTTCCAAAGCTTTCTTTGGGGTAGCTGCTGTCTCTTTGGGTCCTGTTGTGTTGGGCAATCGTACTGCTGACGACGAAGACGTGTGCAGTACACAACGGTAAATCCATTGTCCATTCATGCCTGCACTTCGATGCTTGCACTTCACGCCAGCAACTCACTTCTTCCCCCTGGAATTGTTTTCCTGGCGCCCCGGCCCCACTAGGCGGCGATGGTGAAGCACTTCGTGACGCCTTGCTTGACAGGAGCTGCAAGGTGATAGCTTACATCCCGGAAGACACACTACTGGTTTATGGCTCGGACAGTGCTGTCGCGGAAGCGGCATTACTCAACAATGCACTTATGGTAGGTGTTCTGCTGTATGTATGTATGTATCGACATGTATGATATAGAGGTAATAGGGACCTCCCTTGCTCCAGACGGGTCTCGTAAGTTTGGGTGGGTACTGAATGAGACGTTTCCGTATCCGTAGTCGGACAGGATCACATGTGCTGTATACAAATCCAAATAAACACCGTGTTTGCCTGAATAGCGATGCCACGCAAGGCGTGCCCTGTACTGCGGGACTTGAAACCCCCTCTGGCCTACATGCACTTCCCGAGCGGTTGAGAGAGACCACACACATGCCAACCAATCACATCTGCCCGCCCTATCCACCTGCATACTCATGAACATATGCATGCCGACAGACTATGTACACCGCCAACCACAAGCGAGATCCGAGGCTGGACATGGTTACGAGAGCCGTGAGATCAGCGAGGCGAAGGCGGCGTAGGCAACTCATCATGGAGGCCGGGGGCGATGATAGCGGTGACGACATGGCCGCCGCACATGATGGCAATGAGGACGTCATCCATAGCCTGAAAACCTGGAGTGTATATAGCGGCAACCATGTAAAACATACAGCTGTTGTAAAGCGATCACTTACGACATCAATTTTGCAAGGTGCAGAAGAAGGAAATAGCAACACGGACAGCGGCGATACCCAGCTGTACGGCATTACCGTGTACATCGTTCCAGATCTGGAACCGGAGATGGTTCGGAGCACAATCCTGGAGGGCTGGATGTCGTCTCTAGTTACGATTTTGCAACGTGATGTCAAACCAGCGGATCCCTGTTTGCCAAAGGCACTGGACATGGACCTGTATAACTCATTCTCCCCACGACTGCAAATATACTTGTGTCCTGAGGTGAGCATGAGAACGGGTGAGCCATCCTCCCGTCGTGCCAATTACCAACAAATGAACCTGAATCACCCATCAACAGATGTAAAAAAGTGCATATTGGATGGGCAGCAGGTGTTGTATCACGACTTCAGAAAGACACCGATCGCGGATGTCATGTCAGAATCCCATGATACACCCAGGAAACAACAGCAGGCCAGATCCAAGCAACAATTTAGGCGCAATATTTTAGCAGAGAAACCCAAGTTTCGAAGGAAGAAGTAGCAAATTTCTTGAAAATTCGTTAAGGAATGTCTGCAGACATTTCTTATGTCTTATAACGTTATAAGATAGACACGCTGTCACTACTAAATAACCGTAAATGAACCTAGGTAAATATACGTGTGTTTATAATATTTTATAATATAGGTGGGTTTTATAATTAATGCAGGACATCGAGGACGCCAATGCCTGGCTTAGCCAGCAGGTCCTGGTGACTTGGCTGGACTTGGAGCTGAAGGTCACCACCACCAACGCGGCGGGCGGATGGCTCTCGCAAACAGGTGGGTGCCGGTTCGCTAACCCCTCCTACGTACTCTCCTCCTTTATTTGTCAGATTTCCTATCGCCCGCCCATTAGCCCTGAGGGACCCTCGCGCGCTGTCCCCACCGCCAACCCCCCACCAGCTCCAACCTATAACCCCATGACTCTTTGAAAGTTTCCAAAATGTTGCACAGACACCCTCCCAAGCAATTAACTTCTGGGTAGCTGACATCGCATGTTCTACACCTCTATTAAATGCTGATCAATTCCCCTTATAAACTATATATTTTATTTATTTTTTAAGTCGGTTATTTTGCATATTTAGCTAGGTGGTTCTGCATGTGCAGCCTGCTGGCGTGATTTGAATTGCGTGCCTGCTGTGTTTGTTTGCATGTTCCTGCTGCTGGCTACTCGCGGGGTCGACGCCGTTTTAGGGAACATGGACCTTACGCGCTACCGAAACCTGACCGGGGATCTCCGGCCGTACTGGAAGGCAGGGATCGTGGGCAACGATGTAGTGATTGGGGTAAGCAGGGTGGGGCAGGGAAGTGGGCAAAGAAGCACATCAAAGTGGAGGTATAGGCCGACCGGGTTGCTCCGGTTGTTGTCCGGGCAACTAGTCTGGCCCACTGGCGTCCATGGATAGACCGCCACTAAATTACAAACAACATGCCAGTCTGCTGTAGTTGTCATGGCCCCCCTGATGGCTCGATCGACCTGTTACGCACACGTATTTTTTAGTATCCTGGGTATTAAAATATCTCGATATCATGCGATCTGCATCCACCGATCAGTTCTTTTCCGAAAAGTCGTGATATCGATATAACATATCTGCCGTATAGTAGCTGGCCGCTGAAACGGCCTCTCAAGATGCTGGTGGAACGCTTTCGCGCGTGTTTGTAGGTAGACAATTCGTGTGTCGTACTATGAACAGCTAATAGCATGTGTCGCCAGCACTCTAAAGCAGAAGCATGTGGGCAGAATTGTCCAGTCCAAAACTACCTACACTACCGATCCAAGTGTACCTTCGTAATGTTGCAAAGATGCGGTGGGCACTGAGCCGCGCGGCAATGATAAGGCAAGCAAGCTAACTATATCAAGTTACAAGTTACAAGTTCCGCACACAAGTGCGGGTGTGTCCGTAAAAGCCGGGGGGGCCATGGACGTGGTATTGGTATTGATGCGGGTACGCGGGAGGTCATCTTCATATAAAGAGCCCAAGAGTACTGGCGCAAATTGTTCTGCAGGTCGCCGATACGGGTATCGACATGGGCCACTGCTCCTTTGTGGATGACGCTTATGACCCCCTTCGTCTACAGAGCCTGTTCACAAACAGGTCCTTGTCCGTGTTAATGTCGACCCACCGGAAGGTCGTCCAGTACACCATCCCACCCTACGCGCGTACGTTTCCAGTTCCTTCCATACTTCGCCTGTCTAGCTATGCTCTTGCACATGCATAATCGTTGGCCGCCGGAACGGCCCCTCGAGATATCTCGAGATATCGATGCTGGGTATGCGCTTTTGCGCGTACATACATGTATCCACAATTGTGTGCCGTATTGATGATGATCGTATGACAGCCACACCAGCATGTATTGCTACCAGCCAGCTGCTCAATCACTGCCATGGCAATAATAGCGGTAAAATGTTTGTCATCTATAGACAGGCACGGTCATCAGAGGTCATCGTATAATAGATAGGACCGAGAAATAGACCGTATGTAGATTCTTTGTATATAGATTGCTCTATAGCTATAGATCGTGCCATAGTACTATCATACTAGTATAATAGATAGGCCTGAAATAGATGGTCTACACGAACTCCTCGATACAAACCACTGCCATGGCAATAACAACGACGCCGCCGTATATGCATCATTCTTCATCCTGCTTCAGAGCCGGATTTTTTCGGTGACTTATCTGGCCACGGAACCCATGTGTGCGGTACAATTGCTGGGGCCAAGTTTTCTTCAGCTACTGGCGACTTTTTGAACAGCGTTGACACTGGCGCAGCGCCTGCAGCCAAGATCAGTTTCATGGACACGGCAAAAAACGGTAACCAGCTATATATCCCCAGCATAGACTACCTGCTACAGGTGAGTCTCCTGGTATTTATATGCAAGTCAGCCCTAGGGTTCATTATTGCTACCTACCTATCTGATGAGGGCCCAAGTAGGGCCGCATGCCAGGGAGTCCCCATAAGGGGAGCGAGAAGGCGGCCCCTAGCTAGGATGAAGGTAGTGAACGAGGGAAAGTTGTAACTTAAGCATATGCGTTCATAGGAAGGGCTCACATTCCAGCAGATTGCATCCTTTTGCCGTTAGAACCGCGCGACCGTTGGCGCAGTTCGTTGGCGCAGTTCGTTGGCGAAGTTCGTTGGCGCAGTTCGTTGGCGCAATTCGACAGAGCCCACATTAGCGACCAAGTGTGTCCGGATCCGCTCCTTGGTGCGTGCTCGGATCCCATGCTTAGTAAATACACCTTATTAGCTGCAGCAGCTAGCTAGCCATTAATGTTCAAGGCAAGAAGACAGACCCCCGTAAATGGCTTACCACTTGCGCTGTTGCCACCCACCAGCCAGTAGCAGCTCCAAATAGCTACAGCGATAATACTGCTGGCACGAGGTGTAATACCCTGTAGGGCGTGCAACATCAAGGGATCTGCTTCCGCCGATTGGTGTACTTTTTTGAAAACGTCGTGGTATAGCACTGGTCGCCAGGCTTGGTGACCATGTATGCGTCAAGGCCTAGGCCTGCTTCCAGTGTCCAGTGATGGCGCCCTTCCTTGCACGCGACATTGTATCTACTAGCTAGTAGCTAGTTGTGTGTGCATATGCGTGTATATGTGTGTATGTATATATATGTATGTGTGTGTATGTGTGTGTGTGTGCGTTAAACCAACTTGCTGCTCCGGATCCCCTCTCACCAACAGACACACTACAATGTGGGAGCGAGACTCAGTTCCGACAGCTGGGGCACCGATGGCGCATCCAGTGTCGTGTACGACTACATTTCGCAGGCTTTCGATTTATTCGCCTGGCGGAATCCGGGCTTTCTCAGCATGATTGCCGCCGGCAACGCAGGTAAGCACGTGACTGTCGATTGTGCATGTACCGGCTACTTACGTACTGCGGCCTATATACATAGCTAGATGCATGTAGCTTTAGAGACGTGCATCTATGCCTAAGTAGGTCGGCTGCCCCTCGCGATCGAGCAACATTTCACCCAGTCGTGCATTTACTGGCCGCGGCAAAGGAACATGCATGGACTGTAACTACTGTTCACTTATCCGCGTGCCGCTGGATCCCTGCCCGGCGGGTAGAGAACGTGGGGTTCGTGACGAAGTGATATATGCAGCATGTGGTATCCCGGAGAGCATATCACGGGATCTGCATCCACCGTTCGGTTCGTCTCTGAAAAAGTCGTGATATAACAGCATGTGCTCCTCCGCGCGCGCGCGTACATCTCTCTAGGTCAGGTAAATGCTTTAATAGGCCTTTTGGTATAAGAAGGTTCAGCTCCCTTGGCATCTCCCTGAGTACTCTTTGCCTGATGTTACATTGGTGCGAATTGCTAGGAGGTGAGAAATCCCAGGATCGAATCCGGTCGGAAACATATTGCACACCAGGCATAATGCAGCATACTCTTACCCCATAGGTGGATGCCCGGGTGGGCGAGAAGTTTACCAGCTGAGTAAATCATGCTTTTAAATGTTTCCTTTGGCTCCCGCTCATCCCTATCATGATTGCCTGTCGGTGGCCAGGTGGTCTTGGGGGGGATGTGCGGGGTCGTGGGGCTGCCGCCCCACTTCCCCGCACTTTCCCCTCTCTCCTGCCCCTTGTTCTTGGAAAACTTTAGGCGAAAGTTTTGATCGGCTGGCATTAGCAAGCATTTGGGCTGTGTGCCTTTTCCAATGATTGAAACAGTTTGTTTTCTTGCATTGGTCGTACAGTGCAAATTGCCCACACATTGCTAGTTGTTGCAACAGTAAAGTATAAGCAATTGACGAAGTGTAAGGAGAATATCAGTATGGAGAATTAAGCATCTAAATTTGTGATTACAGTCGAGGTGAGCCGTTAGTCCCCCCCATTTAAACTGGGCAGGTTGCAGGTTGTCCGCCGTCACCAGCATGTCGTTGGCAGTGTGCACCGCACTGTTGCCTCCACCACCGCCGCTGCCGTCGGGCATGTTAGACTTAGCGCTGTCAGCGCTACCACCCGAGCAGCGGTGGACTTCCCGACTCTCCGCCGCCGCCACTGCTGCTGCTGCTGTCGGGTTGGCAGGCCGTCACTGACCGGGGCTGTGGCATGTGCAGGGACAGCCGTTGACTGCGGGTGTTGCGATGGAAGGGGTGTTGTTGGGGTCGCCGGGGTTGGGGTAGCCGCTGGAGTCGGCAGCATGGCGGGCGGTGTAGAGCCGCCGATAGTGTCCCTGCTGCCGGGGCAGGCGGGGCTAGTGCCGAAGAGGGTGCCCGCCTGTTGTGAACCGGGTCGTGGCAGTCGTCATCGAAGGTGATGTCGCTGCTCACGGTCACCTTGCCCTCGACGAGGACGCGGTGGGTGGCCATGCCGTGCTCCGGTCAGCGGTAGGTTCCCGCCTTTGCACGAGGACTGAGTTTGTCCTGCTGGTTGGCTGGGATGCGGATGTAGGCCAGGCAGCCGAAGGTGTGGAGGTGGCTGACGTCGGGGGGGATGCCGTGATAAGCTTCCCTCGGTGTGGCCTCCTGGCCCTGAGAGGGGGCCACATTGCGCAGGAGGTTGGTGTAGAGTGCAGCCTCCAGCCAGTAGCTGACCGGGAGTGCTGTGTCATGCAGCATCACCCGCACGCGGTCGAAGAGTGTGTGGTTGAGTCGCTCCACCGCTCCGTTCTGCTCTGGGGTGTACGGCGCCGAGTGGGTGTGTGCGGTGCCGTGCTGGCGCAGCCACTGCTCCAGTTGCTTGGCGACGTACTCACCGCCGTTGTCGCTGTGCAGCGTGTGCACCCGTGCGTGGTTCGGGTGGCGGGCCTCCAGCTGTGTCACCATGTCCTGCAGCACTTTGCCCATTGGCTCTTGCTGGCCAGCATGCGGACGGCGGACAGACCGGTGGCACCATCCAGCAGCGTCAGCAAGTAGCGTGCGCCCCCTCGGCCCATGGTCGGCATGGGCCCGCACAGGTCAGGGTGTACGACCTCCAGTGCGTGCTACGGCCGGTTGCCGCGGCTGGGGTGGGCGGTTGCGGTGGCCTTCACGGTGACACAGGCCTCACAGACGGCCTCCTCCGCTTGCTGATCAGCTGCTTCAGCACATGGTAACTGAGGTGACCGTACTGGCAGTGCAGGCGCTGTGCTGCCACAAGTTCGGCGACTGAGCATTCAGTGGCCCCGGGGCTGCTGTTGCCTGGTTGCCCTTTGCCGTTGCTGTCGCCGTTCGGTTGGCCTCCACCGGTGTGGCTGCCGGCGGTGCTGCCGCCACGGGTGCTGGTGATGGTGGCGGCACTTCCGCCAGCGCTGCTACCTGCGGCCTGGCCCCCGCCAGCTCTGTCGCCCGTGGTGCTGAAGGCATTGACGGTGACGTCGGTCGGCGCCTGCAGGTCCACGTCCATGCATAGTGCCCACGCTCACTCCATGCGGTTATAGACGGGCTGTTGTGCAGGAGGCTGATGCATGAGAACCAGCAGCCCGTCTTGTCCATGCTGAACGTGACCGAGTAGCCGCGTGTGATGAGGTCTGTCGACCTCTCACGAGGTCGACAGACGTCAGGGTGAGGCCCGAGCTGGGGACGTGCAGCATGTTGTACAGCCAGACATTGTGTCCATCACGAGTATGCAGGTGCAGCTGCCCTGTTCCCACGACATGTTGCCCCACCCGATTAGCCGTGGCATGCCGGCGGGGACATGGTTGTGCAGCAGGGAGTGGTCACCCGTGAGGTGGTATGGTGAGCCTGAGTCGAGGGTGACTCGTGAGCTGCTTCCACTGTGGTCGATGACCAGCACTGGGGCACGGCTCTGGTGTGAGCTGCTTCTGCTGCTGCCCGAGCTGCTGCCACTGCTGCCGCATGCAGTGTCGCCACCGTTGCGTTGGCTGTTGCCGCATCGAGCACGGCCACATTCACGTGCTCCGTCAGCCCTGCTGTTACCGCCATTGCCGCTGCCAGTGCCCCTGCCGCCACCGTCACGGTGGCGGTTGCAGCTGCCTCAACTGATGTTGCCGGCGGCGTGCAGCTGCTCGAATGTGTTGCTGCGGTGAAGGCCGACGGACTCGTCTGCCTGCTTAACAGGACACTCGTGAACGTAGTGACCAGGCTGTCCGCAGTAGTGACAGGTGTCGCCGGCCCGTACGGTGCCTGCAGCACCGGCGGCGCTGCCGATTCCACTGGCAGCACGGCCAGGGCCGACAGCTCCCACCAGGCTTGTCTTGCTTGCTTGCTTGGGTCTTAAGGTTGTTCTCCTTCTCACGCAGCATGAGCACGAGCTGTGGGGTCGTTAAGTTGGGCTGATACATCGTGAACTCGATGGTGATGGTGCACTGCGGAGGCAGGCCATGGAGAATGGCGTGGTGCTCTCGTCCCACTGGCCGCCGGCCACGATTATATTGCTACGGAGCTGCTCTGCCTGCTGAACGAAGTCAGTGGTCGTCTTCCCATCGTACATGCTCAGCTGCTTCTGCGGCTCCAACAGGCTCAGCCGGGCCTGGGATGCAGAACGCAACTGTTGCTGTAAGAGCTGCATGGCGGCGAGAGTGGTCTGGCGATTCCTGAGCAACTGCTTGATGGGCAGTTCACAGGACAGATGCAGGTAGCCGAGCGCCTGTGCGTCCTCCTCCAGGGCGTCTTGGGTGTTGCGGCCCGGAGGCGACGGGTGTTGATGTAGTCTTCAACTTGGGTGTTGCAAGGAAATCGCCTAAGACGCCGAGCCACTGGGAGTAGTTCGACCCATCCGAGAGGAGGACACCCTTACATCCCTTCCCCATGATGGTTGCCTAGCGAGCATGACTGATCAAGCCGTGTTCCCCCCCGCCTATCTGGCAACTAGTTGATGGTATGATGCATCGTTGTTGCGGCGTACGATGGCTCCTGATGCGATTTATGCCCTTTCAGCCTCCCAGGCATGTCCCCACTTGCCTCACAGCCACCGACACATCTCATGGCAGGGGTTTAATTGTGTGCGTGTTGGATGCAGCGTTTCCCGCCTCATTTCGGCAAATAGTTGATGGCATCATACATCATTGGCACGGTGTAAGACAGTGCCTGATGCGATTTATGCGTCCGGAAGCCCTTTCAGCCTCGCAGGCATGTCCCCACAACTGCCTCACAGCCAGTGGGGGTCTAATTGCGTGCGTGTTCGCATGCGGCATATGTCCCGCCGCCTTTCTGGCATCTATTGATGGTATGATGAATCGTTGTGCGATGTAAGGCTGCACCTGATGCGATCTCGTTTGCGGAAGGGCCCCCTGAGTGCTGCCAAGCATGTTATATTCTTATGAGACTGCGTGAAGGTTAACGAACTGAGTATGCGACCAACACATAAAACATCGCATGTGAATTGTTATGTCATGCGATTAATCAAAGTAAATCGTGTGTGTTTGGTGTGTTAGGCCGCAGTAAACTTGACGCAACGAGCCTTCATACGCTTGAAACGCACCATTTGTTTGCATGCGAATTGCGTTGCGACATGTGTGCGTTTGGTGTGTGCTAGGCCGCGTTAAGCTTTACGCAATCAGACTTCATACGCATGAAACGCAACATGTATTCGCATGTGAATAGCCTTGCGGACTGTATGCGTTTGATGTGCGATTGGACGCGTATTGCTTTACGCATTGTCTCCCCACACGCACGAATCGCAATATGGAATCGCATGCGTATCGCCTTGCTACACATGCGCGTATGCTTCGCGTTTCAACATAAGCACGGATGAATTGCTCAAGTCGACCAAAACGACGCAAGTTTATTTCCAAATGAACCTTTACAATCTGAAAATTATAAAATTTAAAAATTTTAGCCAGTAGGGCCGATTTCCGCTTTTTCATAGCCGTTGTGCGTTAGCTCTTTGCGTTACAAAAACATGCTCATTCGCACCTAACGCTAAGATTCGCACCGTTACGCGAACTAACGCGAACTAACGCGGACTTAAGGCGATCACCCGTCGTCATAGTGTGTCGTGGCCATGGCGAGCAGGACCACAATGCTGAACGTCCGCGATTGTACCGACAATGACAACATTTACTAGCTTTATATTCACTAGCAGTCCAAGGCTTTAATGAATGTATTGACTCAAGGATCAGTCTATCACAACGATAACGGCGAAGGAAAAGAAGCCAAACTAACCCTACAAATTGTGAAAAGAAGAAGTCATATGTAATACACAGCATTTGATATTTATGCACTGGGCTAAATACTGGCTGAACAGCGACGCAGATCGGTCGTGCGATGATGCCGTGCGAAATCTTGCCGCCGCCGAAAAGTGCGTAACAGCACTACCTACATTTTCGTTTTTATGGCATTGTAAATTTGCATTTGATTAAGTTGGTTCACCACTTTTGGCAGGCAAAATGGACGCAGACGCGGAACACAGTGCTTTACCACACAGCATCAAGCACGCTACAAGGCGAAAGATCAATATGCTTAAACTTGCTGTCATATACTTAAAAGAAATTGTTGCAGATTCCGCTTAGCAGGTAGAGCCAGCGACGCATAGATTTCCCTTTAGGCCGTACGACTTGAGGGCCTTGTTCATTGGCCTTCTTCCCTATAGAGACTGTACGGCATCATTGGCCTTCTTCCCTATAGAGACTGTACGGCATCATTGGCCTTCTTCCCTATAGAGACTGTACGGCAGTATCATTTTTTACCTAAGAGGTTACCTTTTTAGAGTTAGAAATAAAGGAAGAATCATTTTTTACCTAAGAGTTACAGCTTTTCAGAAAGAACTAACAGCAACTACTACTATTATAAATTTTTGGCCGATCATTGGCGAGCGCAATAATGAGCGGTAGCAAAGAAAAGACCTCCATCTCGGACGGGGACGGACGAAATGTCACAATATCAAACAAACTCACAATCCTACGGGATCTCAAATAACCAAAAAATCCTACGGGATATGCCCGGGGGCGCCTGAGGACATTCGCTCGAGGGGGGGAGGAATGTAAGAAGGTTCAGCTCCCGTGGCATCTCCCTGAGTACTCTTTGCCTGGTGTTACACGAGGGCCCTCGGGTGGCCTATAGGCGATCAAACGTTTTACTGACGCATGAGGCGGCGGGACAACCCGCGCGACCGCGTGTGTGCGTGTGTGTATGTGTGTATGTGTGTATGTATTGGTATGGATGTATGCGTACAAGAACGCCTACAGGTCTGTTGGTACATCTTTCCTGCATGCAGGTACGAACGGGTTCGTGGCAAGCGTCAGCTCTCCTAGCACCGCCAAGGTATGTCATTATTAAACATACCATTAACCATACCCATCCATACTGAACTATAGAGCTGCAAGGGGGGTGAGAGTAGGTGGAACGATGCAAAAGCCAATCTGAGCATCCCGGGTTGCGCCTTTGCTGTGTTACAGTAGGTAAGGGTACTCCCTAAACTAATCAGGGGACATCAAGCTAATATACCGTATATATCCCTGCATATGAGCTTTATATCCCATGGTGAGCTTAGGATCCTAAACTCCGGAGTGTGAGAGCCTACCTGGTCACTTAGGTAGATTTAGCGACTAGTCCACTTATGAAGGTGTTGATAAACACCGGGGGTTTCCCTTGGGGTCTTATAGTCGCTTGCAGTCCGTCCCCTGGCGCCTGTATGAAATGCCATACGATTGCATAACAGAGTGGCACTGTCCAGAGAAGATTTTTGACACAGGTCTGGCCGTGAACGGGCAGACGTGTACAAGATTGCGTACGGAGTCGAGTATGTGTACGAATCGTTACAGCCACAGCCGTAGCCATGTACTGCTGAGTACGGCTATAGCCGCAAGGATTACTAAGACAGTTCTATGTACTGCGTGTACGATATTCACCTCGCGAGGCGATCGACGATGAAATGATATTTAGGAATGAAGTCCCTACTGGGAAATACCCTGAGTCCTGAGCCATCTGGCTCTTACAAGGAGCGAGTAGTACTTTCCAACCCCCTGCAGCTCTGTCTGTAGCTCTGTACGCAGGGGTATTACATACACCCCTGCGATGTAAGATATATCATACAAGGCAGGAGTTTCGGTTGTAAAGCTCCTTACCGGCGGTTACAACTGAAAGGCCTACGACAGCAGCTGTACGGCATCCTTATAAACGACGCATGGACGAATCTTAATTGTCGAAATCCGTAACCGCTTTGGGGATCACATCCCAATGTATATATCATATATCCCAATGTATATATCATATATCCCAATGTATATATCATATATCCCAATGTATATATCATATATCCCAATGTATATATCATATATCCCAATGTATATATCATATATCCCAATGTATATATCATATATCCCAATGTATATATCATATATCCCAATGTATATATCATATATCCCAATGTATATGTCATATATCCCAATCTTTGCAGAACATCTTGTCTGTGGGGGCCACAGTAAACATCCCCGTGGATGTCATCGGCGGAACAACTTTCCTTTTCCGCTATACAGACAGTAACAATGTACTCCAAACCTCTGCGGTACGTGAAGTGAAGCTAGCACGTATACATGCAGGTGTGGGTGTGGGTGTGGGTGTGGGTGTGGGTGTGGGTGTGGGTGTGGGTGTGGGTGTGGGTGTGGGTGTGGGTGTGGGTGTGGGTGTGGGTGTGGGTGTGGGTGTGGGTGTGGGTGTGGGTGTGGGTGTGGGTGTGGGTGTGGGTGTGGGTGTGGGTGTGGGTGTGGGTGTGGGTGTGGGTGTGGGTGTGGGTGTGGGTGTGGGTGTGGGTGTGGCTGTGGCTGTGGCTGTGGCTGTGGCTGTGGCTGTGGCTGTGGCTGTGGCTGTGGCTGTGGCTGTGGCTGTGGCTGTGGCTGTGACTGTGGCTGTGGCTGTGGCTGTGGCTGTGGCTGTGGCTGTGGCTGTGGCTGTGGCTGTGGCTGTGGCTGTGGCTGTGGCTGTGGCTGTGGCTGTGGCTGTGGCTGTGGCTGTGGGTGTTGGGGGTCAAACAACTTGTTTGAATAGCTGTAATTCACCTCTCATAAAATCCTCAATCCATAAATACCCTTTCCCCACAACAAATACAGCTCTGGCTGCTTAATGTCGACAGCCAATACTGGAGTGCTTGGAATACTGCGCTCAGATCGGTGAGCAGGTGTGCAATACTGCCAGTAGTGTGCAACACTGCAACACTGGTTTGGGATGGACATGGGTAATCAGTCTGACCGGGCTGTACGTGAAAGCTGTAAGGTAGGGCAACACACGGCCTTATGTGCTATTGGACAGCCTGACTCCCCCGACAGCTCGACAGAGACGGCGCACCTACTGTGGTTTTTAGACCATGCATCCCTATGCATACTAAGCGGCACCTTAAGAATGTTAGCAGGGAGCTATGCGGGACATATGAAGTGGGTAACACTAAGAAGGTATTAAGATGATATTAAGAAGGTATTAAGATGATATTAAGAAGGTATTAAGTGGTGGCGTTCCAGGGGTGATAGGATGCATGAGATACAAGCACGCACGCCCCAAGGTGGAAGTCGCAATTACATACGCATACCACATGGTACCAAACTACCACCCAGCGCTCGTCCAACGTGGTCGCAAAAGCGTCTGCAAAGTACTTGATCGCATATAGGTCGGGGTCTCGCCTAATGTTAGGCAGGGTCTCGAATTATGTGGCCTATAGATGATTCACGAATCATGTACGATCGTGTACGAGCTCGAGCCAATCTATAGCTATATGCGATCTGTTGTATACAGCATGCATGGTCAATAGCCCTGTAGGCTATAGCTGTAACACAGCAAAGGCGCAACCCGGGATGCTCAGATTGGTGTTTGCGTCGTTACAATAGCCTATTTATAGCTATGAATAGGCTACCATGCGTAGACATTGTGTAGAGCTAGCTGTGCAGCCCACATGTCCGTTGTGTACCTTTCTGTAGACTACCCTACAAACACGGAGGGGGGTTAAGAAACTTAGGAGAATGCTTAAGAACGATAAGAACGACGGAAGAACATGGAGGAGGCGGGTGTGCATTCTTAAACATTCTTACACTGGTATTAAGCGGTTTTATGTAAGTATGTCATATAAGTATGCATTAAGAATGCATCAACCATGAAAACATTCTGTAATGAATGCCTGATGGAGCTCTTCGTCTGTATTTTTTCGGGCATTGTATAGGCGAGATATTCGGGAAAATAGGTGAAAGGTATATAGGCCAGTAAGGTGTACACGTATTATACGAGACTTAAAGGCTTAGGCATAAGAGGCGCATGTGTAAGTGATGGCCTAATATACGATCATTTTTGGCATAGTATTATAAGTACATTTTTACATCAT